TACAGCGCGTACTAGAATCGGACCCCTTCCAATCCACAAGGGATATGGCGAGCACTCTTGGAACTCACCATTCCACTGTGGAAGCTGCATTGCAGAAGCTGGGAATAACTAAAAAACTGGGCCGTTTTGTGCCACACCGCCTCAAGCCTGCCGACCTTGATCGCCGAGTGGATGCTTGTTTGACCCTGCCGACTATGCATAAAGGGAACAAGTGGCCCATCTCATCACTGGGGATGAGAAGTGGATCTATTACGACAACTTCCACAGGAAAGCGCAGTGGGTTCGACCTGGAGAAGAGCCCAAGGAGACCCCGAAGGAGATGCACCCGAAGAAGGTTTTGTTGTCCGTATGGTGGGGTGTACGGGGTCCCGTTCATTGGCAACTACTGGATGAGGGGGTCGCCATCACGGCTGACCTCTACACGCAGCAGCTGAGAGATTTGAAGAAAATCGTGGATTTACGGGAGGGATCTCTCCGAAAAGTCTACTTCGCCGGACCGCACACAGCATAAGTGTCAAATCGGAGCTGGTGCAATATGGCTGGACAGTTCTGCCTCATCCCCCGTACAGCCCAGACCTTGCTCCTTCCGATTACTGGTTATTCTCCGACCTAACCCGTTACCTGGATGGGAAGAAGTTCAAAACCCGTGCCCAGGTCGAAGTTGAGCTAGCATCGTATTTTGCCTCGCGTGAGGCTCAGTTCTGGAGGGATGGTATCCATAAGCTACCTGGACGTTGGCAAGAAGTAGTCGACGCAACGGTGATTACATTTGATCTAATATGTCTCTATAGAGTAATAAATATTCTTTTGAAAAAATGTGACAAAACTTTCCCGCCAACCTAATATTAAAGATATTAAGCTTGCTTGCAAAACGTTTTACTTTTGGAATAAATTTTTCAATTGGAAAAAACGGCCATTACTTATTAGCCAGCCCACTAGCACCTTCGACAACTGCCTCTATCTCACGACCTCACGTTCCGTAATGATAACCTGAAATTAGCAGAAAGTAAACAGCTCTGGAGAACAGATTTTCACTGCAGTGTTATAGAGCACGAAATTTGCTATCAGAACATGCAAAACATATCAACTATTAGCATAAAATTTCAGGTGGAACAGACGTGAGCCTACCCAACTGGCTAGGTGAAGGTTGGCAACTTTGAAATTCTTGAAATTCGTTCCAAAGCGTCCTATTGAGATTCCCTTGCTGAGACTTCTAGCTCAACCTTTTCCAAATGTATGGAGCAGCTTAAGCGATTTTAGCACTTCGAGTAGACGTAAATAGAGGCAGTTGTCGAAGGTGCTAATTTTCGCCGACTTCACTTTCAACTTCAACGACTGAAAAATCCACAAAAACTCTTCCCTCAACCGAAGCTGTTTTGATATTCTAATACTACGAGAAGTTTGCTATTAAACGATATTAAGCTTGCTTGCAAAACAGTTCACTTTTGGAACAAATTTTTCAATTGAAAAAACGGCCATTACTTATCGGCCAACCTAATACATACAGGGGGGCCAAAAAAAAAAGTCATTTTTCCTCCA